ACTGGTGCAGAGCCCATGCTCTTCAGCCCACCACAGCTATAGGGACTCAGGACCCACAGAATGGACCGAACCGCACACCCTGGAACACGGAACTCTTAGAGTCTGTTAGATGAGGGTGTTGGACAAGAACACACTTGCTCCCTGTAATCGAGAAAGCAGCAGGAAATGACGCTGCACACACACACTCCTCTCCCAGCTTCATTAGGCATTGATGATAACATCAGACAGCACCAACCCCAAGGGACCCCTGAAATGGGCAAATGGCAGGCACAGTTGCTACCCAGTGGCAGGTGGGTAAGCAGTGTGGACCCACCTTGGGTTGCAACCCTAGGTGGATCCACACTGCTCTGTTTGCTGTGTGGCTCTGAGCCAGTCTCCCAACCTCCCTGAGTCTCTGTTCCCAAACTCTGCTAACTTACACAATGCAACAATCTATACAATGATCTGTGCCCTCAAGGAGCTTACAGTCTGGTTGGTGGAGGAAAGACACTCACATCCAGCCCAGCCCCCAACTCTCCAGGTAGCCTACTGTGGCTCCCTTCCTTCCCCTGGCATCCTCCTTTCTAAACGGAAGGGCCTGCTGTCACTGACAGAGCTCTAAAGAAACCCACATGCTGTGAGGACTGAGATACCAGGCACAGAGGGCCAAGGTTCCAGCAAGGACTGCCCGATCCCAGCGATGGGCAGCTTAGACCGTGCCTTGCATACAGCTGGACAGTGACTGCCCAGCTCCCACCCTGAGGGCCCTTGCCCAGTGTTCCATAACAAGCATCCCCACCCCCTTCCCTGCGCCAGACCCTGGCAGGGGTAAAGTATCTCATTTAACCCTCACCATTAAGGATATGTCGTTATTATCATCCTCGATTTACAAGTGAGAAAATGGAGGGACAGGGTGCTTAATAAAGCACTTGAACGGTTATCTTACAGGCACTAGAATAAGATAGCAGAGGGGAGCCACTGGTCCTAAAGAAGCTTGCCCTGTGCACCGCCTCCAGCCCCACAGCATGGAGTCAGGCAGGCCCGGGTGCTTAAGCAGCCCTGCCACTTCAGGCTCCCGCTAAGTGACTCAGAGCTCACCCAGCCCGGCCTGGCCAGGGCTCCTTCCCTCACCCAGGGCTTAAAGCTCCTTCTGACATGTTCATTGTTTTTCTAGGCTGGAGTCAGAGATGCTGAGAGAACCCTGCCCTCTGCCACCAGCCTTTCTCGGAACTGCCATTTCTTCATCCTGCAATTCTGAGAATTATGGCATGTTCTACTTTAAAGTTGAAAAAAAAAAAAAAGTTTGCCTACCAGCCACTCACACCTTAGTATGAATTTACTTAACTAGCTTTCTCTTCCTTTTCTCCCCAAACTAAACTGAAATCAAGCAAATGGAAGAGGAATGGAAATACTGCAGAGAAGAGGACAGCCTGACAGGGGCCTTGGACAGTCAGGTGACAGTACCCCAGGCCCTGAATTAGGTGAGGAAACCAGAGTGCCAGAGTCCTGACAGTACCCCAAAAGTTCTAGGCTTTCCATTCTTCCCAAATCCCATCAAAGACTCCAGGTGTAGATTTGCTTAAAGCTCTGCATTCTAGCCTCCCTCCACCACCCCCAGCCCCAGTCACCTTGGTGAAGCCACTTGCCCCCTCTACACTGTTTAGTGGGGATCACGTATCCAAATTGGGAGCTGATGTAGAGATCAAATGAAGGTTTTCCATCAACTACTCAGCAGAGCTGAAGCAAGTGCGTCTCCTCTCCTGCAGCCCCTCGCCCTGCCCACGCATGCCTCCTTGCCTGCCTGGGCCTGGGACTAAGCCTCAAGAGGCCCATCCTTCCCCCAAGTGACCTCAACAACAAGACAGGGAAGTAAAGCAGAGACCATGGAGCTGGATAAAACAGAGTCCCAGGGCCGACGCTGGGATTGTCATTGTGCGAGACAAACTAGGGCAGTCTCCATCCTGGAGCTGCAGACACCCTGTTTGGGGATGACATGCATCCCAGGACACTGAGGGTGACAAGGCTCTTGGGATCGGCAGACCCCCAGAACTCCAGGAGATGGAAGGCCAGGCCAGCAAGTAGTGTGATCTCTGGGTAGTCCCCAACGTTTGTCTAGTAGTGGCCTGGGAGGGCATGGAGCTGCCCTGCACCCTTGCTAGCCCCTCATCCCCTTCCCCGGTACTTAAATCAGGACAGGTGCCCACCAGGCTCCTTTTGATCATTTTACTTTGCTCCTGCCAGGGTCTGGCTTGGGGAAAGGAACAGGGATGCTTGTTGTAGAACACTGGGCAGAGCCCTCAGGGTGGGAGCTGGGCAGTCACACTGTGCAGGCTCACGTTCCAAGCCTGCCACTTACATTATGGGCAGTTGGCCTGGCAATGAGCCTCAGTTTCCTCCTCTATGAAATGGGAAGAATCACACTTGTCTCACTGAGTTGTGGTAAGGAGTCAATGAAATGGAGGATGCTGGCGCTTAGTAAAGTGCCTGACACGTAGTGAGTGTCAATAAATGTCAACTGCTGTCATCATCAGCACCATCATATTATTTGTCCTTAGACACATCAAATGCCCTGGCCTGGCCCAACACATTGTGCCCGCCTCTGCCCCTCACCTTTCTGACTTCACCTCCGGCCCTGCCCTCCCACACAACCTTGCATTCCATCTTGCAGAATGACTCGTGCCTTCACCACCCACCAAGACCTGTCACCCCTAGGCCATTTCCCTCCCTGAATATGTCCTCCAGTGTGACAGCCAGTACAGCCCCCTGTCTCTGGGCTCCAAGTAGGCAGGTGGGCAGCTTAACCCACAGGACCTCAGATCCCCACAGCACAGAGCGAGCTGGAAAAGCTAACAGTGGGCCCTCGAGGGGAAACATTCCTCGCATGGCATCCCTGGAAGGGACCAGGATGACACAAAGGTAAACACTCCATTCACCTACTGAGGCCACCCAGAACTCAGACCAAAGTCCTTCAAGACCTCACTCAATGTCCTTGGCATAGGAAATCCCCAATTTCCTCCCCAAATCCTTCCACCCCTTAGAATTCTAAGGCATTGGACACATTTTCCAACACAGTCCTTTTGCACAGTCACGAGTAGCAGAGACCTTCTCACCACCCAATACCAAAGACTACTTTGGGGTATCTGGGCGGAAATCTCAGACACAGGCCCAGTGAGGCCCAAAGGCAACCAAACTAATGGCCTTGGGGTCTCCTGAGACCTCCCAGCCTCTAGATTTAGGGAGGGGCTTCCTGCAAGTGCTTAGGGGTCTGGTCCTTCCAGCCTGAGCCACACCAGGCCTCCTCTGGAATGGCTGGGATCAAATGAGACTACATCTGCAAACACCTTGAAACTGTAAGGTATGCACATGCACACACGAGTGCACAGACACACACACACCCCCCCCCCAACAGACTTTCCACCATTAACAATAGGGAGAAAGAGGATGCCAAAAAATTACCCATCTGTCCAGACAACCAACGCCAATGGAATCCATCTGAGGGCTGGCAGTGACACAAAATCGTAAATTCAGAAATACTTTTAAGCCCCCTGCTTCAAAATTATATGTGGCTTTCACTCATGTAGGTGCAGAGGAAAAAGAAAGGATTGAAATTTTAACTTGTGTTCATCTGGCTGGGACTTTGAGGGAAAGAAATTATTAGAGAAGGAAGTACCCTAATGAGGGGAGCCACCAGAGACCAGAAGGCACTCAGGAATAGGACCCAGAAGACCTGGATTCCAGGACCATTGGAGCCCAGGACCAGGCTGCCCAATGTGGGACCCTGTGTGGCAAGTCACTTTCCTGCTTCCGCTTCCAGCCTCCCCATCTCTGCAATAGCCATACTCTTGTGAGCTCCCATGCCTTGGTGAGAAGGGAATGGATTGGCGAAGGCTGTGGGTTAGGGAAATGGCCAGGCAGCTGTGAGCAACCAGTGCTGCATTATCCTTAGAGTTTCAGAGAGACCGCATCAAGAATGACAGGACTTTAGGGGAAATACATGTATCGAAGGTACATTTGGCCCTTGCAGAAAAGTGGGGGACAAAACAGTGACGAAGAGCACAGACCCTGGAGACAAACAGCCCGTGGCTGTTCCAAGAGAATGCACATAAAGGCAGCCGAGTGGAGTGCTAGCCATAGCATACACTCAATAAATGGCTATTATTTTGGCGACTGCTACCATGGCATGGATGTGGGGTGAGGGAAGAATGGCTCAGATGGAGACACACAGCCATCCAGCCATGCCCACTAGGTATGCAGCCCCAGCCTGAGGGGCTGTCAGTCCCAGCCAGCACGCCACCAGGCCACTATGCCACCAGCCATGCTCCCAAAGGGCCCCACAGACCTTGCCTCTGGCCCTCAATGTCCCCAGTCCAACACCAACCTCTCATTTCTCAAGGAAAGTTTGATTCAGGTATTCCTCCGGATGTGGGGGTCCCTATGACCAGCTTCTAACTGCAGGGGACAGAGGACTCCAAAGCAGGGTTCCCTCGGCTTCCTATCCCAGCATCCGCTGCTCAGGGAGAGAGACAGAAACCACTGGCCTTTGCCAAACTCCTCACTTGCCAGATCCTCCCTGCAAGCTCATTCAACCGACTCCAATTTCCCCAATCTTCTGACTCTTCACATTGGTCCCTCCCCCAGTGTGGGGACAGGAGGAAGACAAATGTGTACCACTTCCACTTTGCTGCCTCTCGCAGCTGGGGGAAGAGGATCTCTTTCTAAACGAGAGATGGAGAGCTGTGCTGAGTTTTTATCATTTCCAAGCGAGACAAGGGAGAGACAACTGGTTAAAACAGGGTAGACAGGTGCTTTAAAAGTTATCTTCAGGTTTCATTCATACAGACTGTTCTTAACCCCAAGAGCACCAGCGACTGAAACACTGGCAATCTTCCCATCCAAGGATTGGAGGAAAAGGGAAACAAAAAGAAGAGGGGAAGTCAAAAAGTCTTCCACCAAGCCCCCTCCGCAGCTGTCCCCTTCGATAAATTTCAACACAACAGCAATGCACGAGAAAAAACGCCGACCTGAGAATTCACCCGGAGCAGTGATGAGGGAGTTGGTAGCCTCCGTTTCAGTGTAAGACAATGTGGAATCGGACAGATCTGTGGGAGAAAAGAAAAAGAGAACTTAGTTGGCCATGGGGCAGCGCTCTCTTTTTCCTTCTTTCTCATGCATCTGTGTATGTGTGCACGTGTGTGGATGTGTGTGCTTGCAAAGGGCAGCATGTCCCTCCCAACGTTCTGATGTCACCCTGTAACCCCTTCTCAGGATCACCCCAGACCAGCCCAGCCCAGCCCAAGAACTCTTCTGGAAAGTGCTGACTGTGAAGCTGGTACCTAAAAACGTACTGCCCTGACCACAGAAATAACCCAAGTTCAGGGGACCGAGCAAGTAGCAACTTGGAGCCTCCCTGGGTAAGGTTAAATTAAGCCCCTAAACAATCCATAGTTGCTGTACTTAATTACAACCATTAAAATTCTTGAAGTTGTTCCTTCTTGCTTCCTTCCTTCCTTTCTTCCTTCCTTCCTTCCTCCCTCCCGCTGGAGCTGGGGAAACTGTTTTAACAAGTCACCAGCCGTCCTCACTCTGTCCCGCTTACACCCCTCTAATTAAGGGCTCAAGCATTTGCTCCCAGATTAACTTTGTTTTTTCTCTCCCCTCCCCCACTCCCTAACATCCAAACCTGCTCACACAGCAACTTTTAATGCCTGGACTGTTTTTCTTAAGGCGTTCTTTTTTTATTTTTAAGTAGCTTTAAGTACATTATTGGTTTTCCTCTGTCTGCAGAACAGTTAGATGAGAAAGAGAAATTCTTTTGCACATTTTCTACAGAACACTGAGCTGCTATACTGAGCTGCTTGAACATTGACAAGCCGATGCCTTTTGGGACAGGCAGACTTGGAAAATTTTTCCTGGGCCTGTGCCTCTGCTACCAGCAATGGGTGTTGCCCCCGTTAAGGGACAGGCCTGTCCAGAGTTGGAACGCCTGCAGCACACTCACCTTCTCACCCAGCACAATCCAGGACTGGCTTGCATGGCCCCACCTGGCCCCACCCGGTCCAGCACAGCTACTCCAGGCAAAGGATTCCTGGGATAAAACCGTTTGCCCAGGCCCTCACTAGCTAGAATTCCATTTGATCCTGCAGGAAGTTTTTTCCTTTTACCACATGGCTCGGGGAGCAGGAAGATAAAACATTAACCAATTTGGCCTGTTTTTTTGTGTTTTTTTTTTTTCCTCTCCAGTTTCCCACTTGCCAGATGCTGACTGGGTGTTCTGGGTTTTATTTTGTTTTTTGGTCTCATGTGATCACAGAGGCTTAGAAGTGAACTGGCTTTTTGTTTATGAAAAAGCAACAATGCAAGGAAGAGAAAATAATACCAAAAAATAACCCGGGACTATTTATCAGGGAATGAAAAAGTTATCTGCTGGAAAAATATGTTAGGAGAAAAATAACGACCCACGGAAAAATCTTAAAAAAAAAACAAAAAAAAACAAAAAACGAAAACAAAAAAAAAAACCCTCAATGCTCAACTGGGAACTTCTTAGAAGAGTTTTGCTTTTAATACCGAATGTTCCCAAAGTGCTTAGTGCTCAGAGCCCTGCTGCCACTTCTCATCTGAAGTAGCAACATCACAAGCCGAGTCCTATTTCTTAGTGAACTGCCTTACAGCCAACACAGACAGCATTGTGAGGTTTCCAGAAGAGTGGGAACGACAGGCGGTTTCCACCTTTCACAGCTAGTAAGTCCCTATCACGCCCTTGCCAAACCCTCACATCTAGTGTTTCTAGTGAGGCCCTGGACAGTGTCTCAATGGCTGCTGTGCAAAAGAACGCTCCCAACCTCCATCACTGCTCAAGCCTCAAGGAGGAAGAACTCCATCTGCAAGTTGGAGCTCCAGGTTCAGGTCCCGCCTCCACTATGAGTCAAGCAACATCAGGGCTCACCAGCTTTTTCTATAAAGGACCAGAGGTTAATATTTTCAGCTTTGTGAACTATACAGTCTCCGCTGCAACGACTCAACTCTGCCTCAGCCATGGACAAAATGGAAATGGACAAGCCTGGCTGTGTTCCAGTAAAACTCCACTTCTGGACACCAAAATCTGAATTTCACGTAATTTTCAGGTGTCACGAAATATTAGGCTTCTTTGGATTTCTTTTTTAACCACTTCAAAAATAAAAGCCATTCTTAGCTTGCAAGCCATATAAAAACAGGTGGTGGGCTGAGCTATTTGACCACCAGTAAGTGTCACTTCCTCTTTCTGGGCCTCAGTCATCTCATTTGTAAAATCATGGGGACAACTGTTTGATTTCCACATGGTCACTCTGCAGGGCTGGGCAGTGCCCTGATTTTTGCTGCTTTATCACATGCTAACTGACAAACCCTCAGGGCGATGATCCTTGACATTCAAGCTGAGGTGCTAAGAACTTTCACCAAGAACTTTTGAAGGTTTTTTTCTCTAATGGAACTAAGGATCTTGCAAGCAACTAATGCAATTATGCTGACTTAGGAAATGCTGAGACAGGCCTCCAAGGGAAGGACAGCCAGCCACCCACCTGAGTGGGGGCTGCTCTGAGTTTGTGCCTCAACCCTGCAGCTCATTAGCTGGGCAGCTCCTCCCCCTCACTCAGTTTGATTCTTCATCTGTTAAGTGACAAGCTCCCACCAGAAGATCTCTCCAGTTCCCCAGAAACTAAGGCTCCCCCATTCATGGGACAATTCTACTTCTGGGACAACAATAGGGTGGCCACCATAGTTTGGTCGCTGAATCCCACACCCTCGTGGGACAGCCTCTGCCCACCTAGCCTGAGAAGGTCACACTTCTGAAGGGACCTGGTGGGCACTTCTGACTTCACGGCAGGTGAGGGGTCTGGAAGGAAAACTGGGGTGGATATGCCTGAGTGTCTACGACACTAAGAAGGGACCTCCCCAGCCAGGTGCAGTAGCTCACGCCTGTATTCCCAGCACTTTGGGAGGCCAAGGCGGGCAGATCACGAGGTCAGGAGATTGAGACCAGCCTGGCCAATATGGTAAAACTCCGTCTCTACAAAAATTAGCCGGGCGTGGTGGCGGGCACCTGTAGTCCCAGCTACTCGGGAGGCTGAGGCAGAAGAATCATTTGAACCCAGGAGGCGGAGGTTGCAGTGGGCCGAGTTCACGCCATTTCACTCCAGCCTAGGTGACAGAGCGAGACTCCATCTCAAACAAAGAAAAAAAGAAGTGACCTCCCAGATGATGCTAACACATGCTACTGGGAGGAGGCCTTTACAAAAAAACCAAACAAAACCCACTTTTTGCGGTCACTTGGTGGAATGTTTCAGCATCGTTGCCACGCCATCTGACTTTTAAAGCTTGAGTCCCACGGGAACTGCTTGGGTCACAAAGTCGCTTTCCTGGCACTGTCAGGGCCAAACTAACTTGCCCCAGTCAGGATCCTACAGATTCCATCACTTCTCTGCCTCAGAACCCATGCCCTGAAACCCCACTAGAGGAAACAGAGAGCCAAGCACTCTCCACTTTTATTTTATTTTACAGAGGGGGTCTTGTTCTGTCGCCCAGACTGGAGTGCAGTGGCACAGTCATACCTCACTGCAGCCTCTAACTCCTGGGCTTAAGTGATCCTCCCACCTCAGCCTCCTAAAATGCTGGGATTACAGGCATGAGCCATCGTTCCCAGCCACAATCTCTACTTTTTTTTTTTTTTTTTTTTTTTTTGAGACAGAGTTTCACTCACTCTGTCACCCAGGCTGGAGTGCAGTGGCGTGACCTCAGCTCACTGCAACCTCCCAGGTTCAAGCAATTTTCCTGCCTCAGCCTCCCGAGTAGCTGGGATTACAGCTACTCGGGAGCATGTGCACCACCACACCCAGCTAATTTTTGTACTTTTAGTAGAGACGGGGTTTCACCACGTTGGCTAGGCTGATCTCAACCTCCTAACCTCAAGTGATCTGCCCCCCTTGGCCTCCCAAAGTGCTGGGATTACAGGCGTGAGCCAACAGCCTCTGCTTTTGAAACCACTTACATCTACCCCAGAATATGGGCTGATCATCTAGGCTCAAGGTTTTACAGAAAACATGTTCTGCCTCTGAATGGGAGTTGTCTAAAATTACCAACTCCACTAAGCTCACCTAGGGGACAGTCCATGCCAGGGGCTTTGTATACCAATATACATTCCTTTTTAATACTCCAATTGTTGTTTCTGCTCAAGTGAACATCTTGGCTTAAAAAGGGGGAAAATACACAGCTCCTCTCAACAAAGACTTCATGCCCAACCTATTTGTCATACTACTAATTAATACACTCTAAAGGAGAATAACCCAAGGCTGGGGGGCCCAAGAGAGAGGAAAGAGACACAGAAATACCAATGCACCTCCAGTGAGATGCGTAAGTCAAAACCCATTCATCTTCGAAAGGCCCATGTTTAAAAGGTCACGGAGAGGTTAATGATGAGCCGTGGAATTCCGAGATGTAAATAGCCTGCTGCAGAAGCTGGGTCTGCTTTGGCCCAACTGTGGGAGTGTTTGCACAACTTCACCCCATTTCACAGCAACCGGTCTGGCTTTCACCCCTCCCCTCCAGCCCTCCAGCCCTGAGGCTGGACAGACACTGGGCTGAAGGGGACCCAGTGAGGGACACTCCTCTGCAAGGGTAGGAAGGAGGGTGCACTTACCCAGTGGCTTGTACTCGTCGCGAGGAGACAGCCGAGAGTAGGGAGGTGGCGGAGATTCTGGAAGACAGGAGACAGCATGTCACTGCCAGTGTCGGGGAGCTCACACCTCAGGTTCTACATGCTTTTAATTTCTGGTTTCCGCAAATAATAAACTCAGCCTCCAGAAAGCCCTCCCTTTGTCCCACCTCCTCTGCTGCCCAAATCCCCTAAACAGTTAAAGCCACAGACTTGGGGCACAGACAGATACGGGCTCAATCCCAGCTCTGCCATATTTGGCTGTGTGACCTCAAGCAACTTACTTCACCTCTCTGAGCCTGTTTCTTCAGCTCTAAAATGAGGATAATCATCATCTAGACCTCCCAGGTTTGCTGGGATAATGTATGTAAAATGCTTAGTGCAGCTCTTGGCACTATCGAAAAACACCTCCATAAACAGTAACTGTTACTACTTTAACAAGAGAAACGTGAGTGCAGGGAAAGTCAGAACCAGGGCTGCTGGATAAAATACCAGATGCTCAGTTACATTTGAGTTTTGGATAAACATAGCATCATTTTGTAGTATAAGTGTGCCCCTTTCAATATTGGCGGTGTACTTATACTAAAACGTGGTGTGTTGTTTATCTGATACTCTAATTTAACTGGGCATCCTGCATTTTACTTGCTAAATTTGGCAAGCCTAGTCAGAGCTGAGTGTAAGTGCAAAGGCCCAGACGCAGAAACTCGTGTCCAAACAAGCTGCATTAGAGCTAGCATTCCTAGGTGCAGGGGAGGACAGTAGAAAGGGTTAGGACCCAAAGGGCCAAACCCAGCTATCTCAATAGGAGGTCTTAAAGCCAGTCACTTCCACTCTTGGCCTCAGTCTCCCCTTTTGTAAAGGACAGGGGTGGAACGCAAGTTCTCTACAGCTCAGATGCTATTATTCCTTATTGTCTATGATATTTTTCTTTGGGTTTCCTTTCATTTGCCTAAAATACTCCTCCTTAAAAACATATACTTTGCCTTCAGAAGAATTCCTTAGCTTCTTGCTTTATGGGAAGTAACAATTTGCTAAACTAAGTAACAATTTGCATGAATGAAATGACCCTTCATTTTCGGTAAATGAAACTAAACACAATCAAATCGCAAACTAAAACAAACTCTCAGTGGTAATAAAGTGGTAATAACTATTATTAGGCGGGTATCAGTAATGACACAAGGGGTAATAAGTGTTTTTCGCAATTGTAATAAGGCACAATTAGTTATAGGAGCACTTGTTTTGCTCCATACACCCAATGAGGCCTCACCTCTTCCCCACCCTGGCTTTTCCAGCTCAAAGTTACTTCCAACAAAGTCAAAGCTCTGAGGTTTAGAAACAGAGACTTTCTGTGGACAGAAATTAGGGAGAAAGAAAAGTGAATCACAGAGTAGCCACTGAGAGAGACGTGAACATTTGCTCGGTGCCTACCTTGTGTCTCACTCCATGCCAATCACTTTCAATTTTATTATTTTAGACCTCAGGTACAGAGTAGTTAATTATGCTCATCAGGCACCTATTTTTATTTAATCCTTTCTCAAAATACAAAAAACAAATGAGATGACATTATTATCCCCATTTTACAGGTGAGAAAACTGACTTGTGCATGTCTCCTGAGCCAGTCATGGTGGAGCTGGGATTCCAGTCCAGGCCTAACTCTGCTCTGCCACCCAATAAGGTGGAATCAAGAGATGTCCTTTCTTATACCGCTTCATCCCCGCTGGGTCTGGGACATCACCTGCACAGAACATGCTCACTAAATATGGACATAGACAACTGGGATGAGGATAATGGTAAAGTTGAATGCACCTGTGGACAAAGATGTGCAGAAAGAGGATCTAGGGGGCTCTCAGGCCTAGAGGCCAGTCTTGAGGAGGACCGGCCTCTCAGGACAAGGGGCAGCGCAGAGGAAGGGCTGGAGCTCCACAGGAAAAGAGAATTGAGGCCAGTGCTTCCACTGTACAGAGGAGGAGGCTGTGGCCTGGTGAGTGGAAGTGACTTCCTCAGGAGCTAGGTATGGAGCCAGAACCAATGCCAGGTCCCTGACCTCCATGCCCTTTCCACTACCCGCAAGAGCTTATCAGAAAGCCTGTAATTTCTTAGGGTTACTTTTGCAAAAATCTGACTGGCTGAGGCCTAGGCCACACATGGCATGGAGCTCTGGACATCCGCCCCCAAGATTTGTCCCCAAAGGTGAATCTTGACAACTATGGGCAGTAGTGGCTGGAGTCAAGCCTCTGTAACCAATGCCAGCATCTCTTCCAGGGGCTGCTTACCTGGGAATCAAAAGGTGGAAGGCAGGAAAGGCTAGTGAAGTCCCACCTGGAAGAGCTACCTGAGCCTTGAGTTGTGACACCCACTACCCACGGCCATAGCTGAGTTGGGAGTTCCAATGTTGTGAGATAGAAAGAAAATCTATGAACCTGAACCAGGAGACATGCCAGGTAGTGGAGCACTGCAAAGTGTTCAGGAGGGACCTCACCAGGCTCCCATTAGCTCTGGCAAAATGGTATGCACACAACTGTTTATTTATTTGAGACAGAGTTTCGCTCTTGTTACCCAGGCTGGAGTGCAATGGCGTGATCTCGGCTCACCGCAACCTCCACCTCGCAGGTTCAAGTGATTCTCCTGCCTCAGCCTCCCTAGTAGCTGGGATTACAGGCATGCACCACCACGCCCAGCTAATTTTGTATTTTTAGTAGAGATGGGGTTTCTCCACATTGGTCAGGCTGGTCTTGAACTCCCGACCTCAGGTGATCCGCCCGCCTCGGCCTCCCAAAGTGCTGGGATTATAGGCATGAGCCACCGCACCCAGCCAACTGTTTAACAACTGCATGGACTGAAAGTTAATCACTAGATTCCATTGTAGGCAACTAAAAAAGTATGAAAGCTTTACACTCCACCCCACAACACAAGGATTTAGAGTGTCAGAGACAGAAGAGGCCTTGGGGTTCACCCAACTCAATTCCTTCTTTTCACTGGTATGAAAACTAAGGTCCCACTTGCTGAAGGACCTGCCCAAGGCCACATATGAAAGTAGCTGCAGGTATTATGGGGAAGGCCAGCTGGAGACCAGTATCAGGTAACCCTTTCCAAAAATTGAGATATAATTCACATACCCTAAGATTCATCCTTTTTTAAAATATACCATTCAGTGGGTTTTTTTAGTATATTTACAATGTTATGCAACCATCAACCACAATCTAAACACAGGACATTTTTTTTCATCGCAAAAAGAAACACCATCCCCACTGGCAGTCACTTCCTAGACCCCAACCCCAAAACCCTGGACAACCACTAACCTACTTTTTGTCTCTATTCCCATGCCCATTCTGGACATTTCATTTCATACAACATATGGCCTTTTGTGGCTGGCTTCTTCTTTCATGTGGCACAAAGTCATCGAGGTTCATCCATGTTGTAACACGTTTCGGTACTCCGTTCTTTTTCATGAGTGAATGATATTCCATTTTTTGGATGTACCATATTTCATTTATCCATTCATCAGCTAATGGACATTTGGGTTGCTTCCTCTCTTTAGCTATTATGAATAATGTGCTATGAACACTACTGGGTAACAATCAGCCACCATTCCCACGTGGCTGCACCCTATGGATCTGGACTGATGGAGCCCCAGGGCATTACCTCAGGTGGGCAAGGTGGGCACTCAGGTGGGACACCTGGTGGGTGAGACCAAAGATCAGAAAAGAAACTGTGAGCTGCCACCAGGCCCTCTGTCCACTCCCCTCTTAGAAGTTGTCTTAGTACTTTTAAAAGTTGTGTTGATTTTAAAATAATAACCCATATGCTCTAAACTTTAACAGGAGAACTTTTAGAGCACTGCAGGCCCCTCTGAAAGAAGTGGACCTGGTAGGGAGGAAAAGAAAAGAGAGGGAGACAGAAAGACATCAGCAACTCCAACCCCCTTGGACATCCAGCCTGAGGCATCAACTTCAGGAATCTCCTCCAACTTCCTGCAGAAGCAAGAGCAGTCAGCCAGGGGCCAGTGCACCAGAAGGTTCAGCTCAGCCCAGGCATGCCTCTGGTTAGCCCCCAGGGGGTACTTAGCCTTTTGGGATCTAGACCTAAATTCTAAAGCCAGAAGAGTTCACAGCCTCTCCCAGTGCCTGGAAAAGTTTCAGTTTGGGACATTACCTTCCACCCCCAATCTTTGCAGCTCAGCATCTTGCTTAGGAAAAGATTCACATGCCTCCCGGGTTGCCAAGTTTCCCCCCCTCCCAAAGAGGGGCTGTGGGTGGGGAGGGGGCCTCCTGAGTGCCCATCCTTCCTGCCCCCAGAAGCCGAAGACTCAACCCTAAGCCCCATGATGGGACACGCAGAAAAGGAGCTCCTGGCACTTTAAGGCTGGCTGAGCCTAATTGCCCAGATTCCCCTGGCAGCCAGATAAACAGCGCAGCCGGCTGGCGCCAGCAAGAGGCAAACTGCACATTATCACCCCTTCCTCACCTCCAGGAGGAGCTAGGAGGAGCAGACAAGCAGGGCTAGGGGCCGCTGAGCCGGGCAGGGCGGGGGCTTGGAAGCCCAACTTGAAATTGATCTCATTTCAAAGGGATAATGCCAGGCCAAATAAAAGGAAAACTTTCTAGCCCATTCTAATTCCTATAGTCCTGGCCTGGGAACCCTGTGTTTTCCTAGGCGGCCTCCTCCAGTCGTTTAGAACTTCTCTCTCTCGCTCTGTCTCTCTTCCCCGGGCGCAATTTGGATAATAGTAATTTACTGAATATAATTACAGAAAAAAAAAAAGTGGGGAAGCAAAGAGCAGGAGATTTATTCCGAAGTTAATGGATACTTTCAGGAGAAAGGAGCTCTATAAACACAGGTTAGAGCTGTGATTAAAGTATTTCTCCACATTTCCGTCCACATAGGCACCCACCGAGCTCAGCGAACTGGCTTTTCCTGGGACAGAAAGACACCCAAGGGGGAGGCAGAGCTGGGCCTGACTCCCACGGGCTGGGAGGCCAGGAGGCCCCCAGCTCATGCCCAGCAGAGATGGGTCCCCTCCTCAGGACCTCTGTTTCCGAGACAAGCCTGGGGCAGAGTGGGGGAGGGGACGGAGGCCTGTGTGGCCTGGAATCTGCATGTCAGCCCGCAGGGATTCCCTCCAATCCCTTACTTTAGATACGGGAAAAGAAGCCCAAAGGCGAAACTAGCCCCAAGCCACAACTCAAGTTGATGGAGAATGGGCTCCGAACAGCAGGGGTCCACACTGCCCAGGAAGGGGTCTCCTGTCACGGGGGCTCCCTGCGGTGGTCCATGAAGGTGCAGAGGTGACGGCTGCCAGGTGGGAGTCCCTCAGTGCTGGTGTTCCAGTGTACTTTGCTCGCTAGCTGTGTGCCTGCGCTGTGTGTGCGAGCGCGTCTGTCTGCCCGGTGCCCGGGCTCTCTCCCCTGAGCCCTGGAAGGCGCAGGCTCCTTATCAGGACGCGCACGGCTGAGCCCCAGCTATGCGCCCGCCCAGTTATGGGAGCCAGGCTGGCGGCCAGGCGGTAGAGGCGGGGTGGGCAGCCCAGGGCTCCCCCAGCTCTCAGGCCAGGGGCAAGAGGGTCAACCTGGCACATACTGGAAACTCTTCCCTGACCATCGGTCCTCCCAGCGGTCCCCAGGGTGGCTGAATGGGGGCCCCACCTGCTAGCAGCTAGCAAAGGAACAGGGGAGGAGACTTGGGGTGCTGCAGCCCTGGCAACAGCGCCTCCTTCTGGGAGAAGGAGGGGAATCAAGTCCCAAGGCTTAGTCCAGATTTAGATGGGGAGAATGTTCCTAGAGCCACCCCCACTGACCAGCACGGTGGCTGAGGAGAGGTAATTCATCCAAAGTCAAGCGGCAGGTTACGAGCTGGGCAGAGCCTAGGACTAGGTCCATGGTCAAGAACCGTTCCACTGCAGCTTGCCAGATATCTCTTGACCTGTACCTCTCCAAAACCACTAAATGTAAACCAACACCCAAGCCAGCTCCTAGTCCCAGGAGTAGTAGCAGGAGCGGTCCTGTCCATTGTCTCCAGCTTTTTCACTCCTCCCCGCCCTGCCCACCCACCTGAGCATGGCTGGCACCTTAACTCTGAGCTGGCTGGCTCCCTCTCCTCTGACCCATCCTCCAAGGTCCTGCTCCAGGCTGGAGCTGTGGAGCTCCTTCAGGCCATCCTATTACATACACCCCACAGCCTTCTGGTAGTTCAGACCCAGTGACCTGGCCCTGCACACTTCCCTTCTTCCCCCATTTCTCCTCCATAAATCCCTCGTGGGATTATGTTTCTTGAGGGCACAGATCCTACTCATATTTCCACTCTGCTAGCCACAGCACCCTGCACAGTGCCTGGCCCAGAATAGTTGCTCAACAAACATTTGTTGGCACACTGAAGTGGCGCGAGAGAATATACCTGCCAGGGGCTTCTACAAGAGTGGAATGGGCCCACTTAAAAAAAAAAATGACCAGGAACAAGACAACCATAAATAGGGGTCTCCTTCCCCAGAGGCAGGGAGGAGACAGAGTTCGCAGAGGGGAGAAAGTCACTTCCAGGGAAAGCTGTCAGCAAGAGGAAAAGAGTGCATAGAAAGCCTGGCATGGGCCACAGATCAGGGACTGCTCATAGATCCTAAATTAGGACTGGAGTTACCATGAGGGGAGTAAGGTGCCTGACCAACAATGCCCCTCCCCCTCACCCCCATCAATGCCCTCTATGCAGGAATCATCACTGAGGGAAAACTTCCTTTCCTCTCCAGACACTACTCCACACACAGACAAGACACCTAGGACAAATGCACCATCCTAGGCCCATCTTCCTCTTCCACACAGAGTCAGGAGACCTAAGATCTGACCCTCTCTGTGCTCCCAGCCTGGGTGCTGACTCTCCCCAGGGAAGCCAGAATGGAGGGATTCAGAGCCCTCCCAGGCTCAAGAGCCTGTGACTCCCTGCCAGTCCCACCCCTGCAAAACCCCAGTGTCACCTGATGGATTCCCATACATCCCTCAGAGGCTAGCTACAGGCTAAAATGTGTGTTCCCCGCAAGGCAGAGATCAGAGCAAGGCAAGTGCAAGCTCCTGGCCTGCTGGAGCCTCCTGACCTGCTGGAGCCTCCGCCTGTCTGCACCTGAGCACCAGGGCCTAGCCGGGTAAGCAAGGCTAAGGGTGGGGTGTGTGCAGGAAATCCCAAGAGGAGAACAAAGAAGGGGGGCAGTTCTCAGAGGTAATCGAGTATCTGGCTTCTTCAACTACTCACAGATGCCACCAAGACCCTAAACTCTATACAAAAGCTGAAAACAAAAGTTGAGAAGGACTATGGAAGACCCTGGCACTTGACACCCAAGGGATGTGGGGAATGATAATACGTGGGGAATAAAGACGGTGCTCTTTACTCCAGAGAGGGATTACCCTGCAAAGCTTTGTCGAAAGTATACAAAGGCACAAATTGGGCATTTGACGAAGACTTTTGATTCTAGCTATGATTTGTGTACACCCAATTTCACAACTTACAGCTGCTTGGACATAGAAAAGCACAGTATGGGTAAGGGCACGTGCATACAAATGCTAGAAGCCTGGGTACAGACTGGGGTAGATTCCGGAATTGAGGTAGGAGGAAATAGTACCTACTTCTTTGGTCTCTCCTTGGCCTGCCCTCCCCTTTCACTGCCTATGAAGTTGGAGCCTACATCATGTCCCTGAAACTGCACAGAGAAAACTACGACGTGTACCCTTTTAAGTTTACCGGAGACTTGAGATAAAGTTGCCACTTGAGGTGTGTGCTGGGATACCCACTCCCCTCGGCTGGGCTAAGACGCCTCTCCTGGTGGCTACCACGCTCCAAGGGCACCCGGGGGAGCACCCGCAGCTGCGCCGACCCGCAGTGTCACAGAGAGAAGGGCAAGGAAGGGGACGGGGACCAGGAGCCGGGGCCCCGCCGGCCGGCGCAGCGCGCTCACCTGGCCCGCAGAGCCGGCTGAAGTGGTAGGGGTTGCAGCACACGGTGGGGCCGTCGGCGGCGGCGGCGAAGCTGTGGCAGCCGCACAGTGGCTTCAGCTCCACTGCGTGCTGCAGGTCGGGCCAGCGGAAGAGGCGGCCGAGCAGCAGCTGCGGCGGCGCGGGCTGGCCGCCCAGGCGGAGGTCGGCTCGCGGCACCAGCACGCAGCCGCCCGGCACGCCGCCGCGGGACTCCACCGCCTCCAGCAGCGTGTCCAGCGAGCGCTCCTTGAGCCGCTTCAGCAGCGAGTACGTGACCGTTTTGAGTTCCTGCTCCAACAGCAGCAGCCGCGAGCGCGCTTCGCGACTCCGCCCGCCGCCCGCCGGCTCCAGGGCCGCCCCGGCCAGGGGGTCGCTGGCGTCCCGGGGCGCGCCGGCGGCGTCCCGCTCCGAAAAGAGACAGCAGGTCACCGTCTCGCAGTCACTCTCGGGCAGCCAGCCCGGGCCTCCCGACTCCGCCACGTCCAGCAGGGAGCCCCCAGCGCCGGCCCCCGGCTCCGACATGGGCCTCGGGGGGCCCCCTGCGCGCCGGCGCCTCCCCGCGCCCTGGGCGCCTCGCTGTCCCACTGCGTCCCGGGGCCGCCGCGGGGCTACCGGGCGGACTTCGGAGCGGCCGCAGCCTCCGCCCTCTCTTGCCCGCGGGGCCGGCTCAGCTCGGCTGCCCAAGCTCCCATCCTCGTCGCCGCCACCACCGCCGCCGCTGCCGCCTTCCTCCCGGTCGGGGACCACACGACTTCGCCAAAGTCGCCGCACCAGCCCCGAGCGTTTGGACCTGAACATACGATATCCTTTGGCGCCAGGGGTGGGGGGGAGGCGGTCTCCGGTTACCGGGGGTCCGTTCCCTCAGCGAGGCGCCGGCTGCGCGGGTCGCAGCCCCACATGAAGCTCCGCCGCGGAGCGCCGTGCAGACCGTGCACAGCCTGTCGTCGAAGGGGCGCCGCAGGGCGACAACATGAGGGAGCTCGCCGAGGCGGGACGGCCGGGAACACGCGCACGCCGAGCCGCAGTCCGCGCGCGGCCAGCGGCTACATGGACCGCAGCGTCGGGGCTGCTCAACAACTCCAGTCCCCGCGCTTTAAGGGGGCTGCAGGCGGCGCACCGCCAGAAAGACCCCACATGGGCCGGCGAGCCTTCAAAAGTTGCGCGGCTGGTCCATGAGCACAAAGCGCTCGCGCGAACCCCCAAATGTGTTTGGAAAGCCCTCCCTTTCCCCTGCCTTATTTTAAACCAAAGCGCTTAACTACATGGGCTTTTCCTGCAGGATCCGAAAGGCAGGCTTGTTGATAACCCCAGCTCCCTTCTTACTCCCTGCAAAAAGGAAAAAAAAAAAAAAGGAAAGAAAGAAAAGGAAATCCCAAACAAAACCTAAATCCCTGGATTTGCATGCACGAAAGGCCAACGCCGTCTCAGGTCCCAGGCGCTAGATGCACTTGGAGCGAGTTTCTCCTGGACGCGGGTGTCAACACATGAGTGGAAGCTGTAAAAATCCCAAAGAGCTGCTGGGAATCCTTAATTAAAAATGCAGTCCACCGAGGCAGAGGTCGCAGCCCGCCCCACGCTGCCCTCGGACGCTTCGTGCGCCGACGCTGCCGAGGTCGCCCCCCCTCCCCCCTCCACAAAAGTGCCTCCCGGTGGCCCCGGGGTCCCAGCGAGGTCCGGCGAGGCAGCGCCCAGCGGCTCTTTCTCTCGGCTCGGCTCCCTCGATCGCTCCCCTGCTCCGCTCGCTCTCTCTTTTTTGTTCTCCTCAAACGCACACTGAGGGCCCCCGGAGGAGCGCCGCGGAGTCATTGGCTGACTCCCATCATATGCCAGTCTAGACACTTTGGCGGCTCCGCGGCGCTGATTGTTGCGCAAACAAGGTTTCAAGTTTCTTAACTCTTAAAGGAGAACACGTCCCATTGCAGGGCCGGAGGCTCCAAGGGGCCGGCTCCCGGGGCGGGCCGAGCTCGGGCCCCCGCCCCACACCGCCCCGGCACCCCCGCCCAGGGCCTGACAGCTCCCGCGGCCCGCTTTCTGCCTCGCGTTGTGCCCAGGGCACGGATGCGAGCGAGCACACACGCGCCCGCGGACACACACACACACACATACACACAGGGTTACATGAGCCACGGGCAGGCGCGCGAGGCTCGGCGGACCCACTGAGACTCGGACGCAAGCGGGGCGCTTTGCCTCTCCCTGGCTTGTGCACAAACTTATAAACACACTTTGCACTTTACAGTTGTTCCAAACCCCCATCCCAGGGCAGGCTAATAAAAATGGGTGTGCGTGTGTGCCTTCCTGGGTTGAGCCTGAGGAGCAGGGGGCGGCGGATATGTTGGGGTAGCGGATCTTCCGTGACTGCACGAGGGGCTCTACGCTCCTTGCACAAAGTCGGGGGTCGCTCTGCCGGGCCAAACAGGGAACTTAGGGCGCTTTGCGCACGGTAGCTCCAGGCTCGCCCCGAGTGGAGAGATGGAGAGGGTGGTGTAGAGGCGGGGAGTGTCTACTCGCTGGCTCCTCTCGGTCGCCACGGCCCTCCCTCGGAGCGAGGCGGGCCGCCGGCCGGCCGGGCCGCCTCCAGGCTGGGTGCTTCCTCTCCCCTCTCCAGTTTACTCTCCGCACCTCGGAGAGGGCTATAGGTGAGGGATCACGCTTTCCCTAGCGAGGTTTCCACGTGAAAATTAGGGTGAGTTGGGGGCGGGATCCGGGGCGCGGCGGCAGCAGCCTGACGCCCGGCGCGGGAAGGGTTAAGGCCGCTCCTGCCCCTGGAGCCGGCGCGGCGGGGTACCTCCTCGGGCGCGCTAGCTCGTCCGAGGGTGGCAAAAGTTCAAGCTTGTAAAGTCGGGATTGGTCCCGCGCGGAGGGGAAAAAAGGCCTGGGCCCCCCTCCCCCCCCGGGCGCGGCGCCGATTGGCCAGGCCGCGGGGCCGGCACCGCCCTCTCCCCCCGCTCTCGGCGGCCCCACCCCCGGCGCGGCGCCCCGCCCCTTTCCGGGCAGGAGCCTGGCCCCGCGCTGAATGAAAGAAATTCCGCTACTCTCATTGGCCCGGGGCTGGGCGCCATTCTCCCGCGGTGGCCGCGGGGCGCCGGCGAGCGGGTCTCCCTGGAGGGTGGCCACGCGTGGGGCTGGTCTGTGGCGTGCGCGGCGGTGCGAACCCCCGGCCGTGCCCAGAGGCTGTGTGCGCTGGGGGAAGGGTGGCATTTGCAAGGAGGATTCAGAACCATTTGCTGAGCTTTACCTGGAGCCAGGTACTGTTCGTGCTGCGCTCTCTGGGAGTGGCGGTTGCTCCCCGAACGAAAGATGGGACTGAGACACTTCCTCACACCCATCTCCTACTTTGGCCAAATTAAAGTAGCGGTCCTAGCCTCATTTTCTTGTTTGAAACCGCGGATAAGGATGCTTGCCCTTCGTGCTTCACAGAACCACGAAGCTCCCTGGAGATTGTGCACGTTAAATGCACAAATCTCAAGCGAACAGCAGGATGAATTTTCACAAGTGAACAAACACACAAGATGTCACCAGCACCCAAAAAGCAATGCACCCCAGAAGCCCGTCTTGTGGCCCCTTTCAGTCACTTTTCGCCCCTGGGGAAATTAATACATCTTCAAATACAAAGAGAAACTCGATGTATTTTCTTTTATCCCCGTGTCTGCTCTTTGTGGATTATCTTTGACTGTGGATTACAATAATAATAGTTCATGCGTATTGAGTCGTTACTATGGGCAAGGCAATGTTCCAGTACTTAGTTAATTCTCACACCACTTAACATAGGTACTATTATTATTAATATATAAGAACTTAGCATAGTTACTATTATTATCTCCACTTACAGATGAGGAAAACTGAGGCACAGGAACTTACTTGTGTAACATGCCACTAAAACGAGGATGGCATTGACAATGCTAACATGCTGAAACCAGAGAGGCGTGAACCAGCACGCCTGCTCATCCTCTGGCTGGAAGTGGTGTGTAGGTCTGTGTTGCCAGACTGTACTCTTCAGGCAGGGATTTCCAAAATGTGGTTCAAAGGCCCACCCGCTGAATCAAAAGTGTCAGGGGTTGAGGCCCCAGAACAACACTTTGGGGATAGGTATGGTTGTTACCACTATTTTGTTTTTATTTTTTATTTAATGTATTTGTTTTTTTGAGACAGAGCCTTGCTCTGTCCCCAGACTGGAGTGCAGTGGTGTAATCTCAGCTCACTGCAGCCTCTGCTTCCCGGGCTCAAGTGATTCTCGTGCCTCAGCCTCCCAAGTAGTTGGAACTACAATCATGCACCACCATGCCCTGCTAATTTTTGTATTTTTAGTAGAGATGTGGTTTCACCACGTTGGCCAGGCTGGTCTCGAACTCCTGACCTGCCTGAAGTGATCCGCCTGCCTCGGCCTCCCAAAGTGTTGGGATTATAAGCGTGAGCCACCACGCCTGGCCTGTTACCACCATTTCTTATTTGGTTTTTGAGAGGGAGTCTCACTCTGTCCCCAGCCTAGAGTGCAGTGGTGCAATCTTGGCTCACTGCAACCTCCACCTCCCGGGTTCAAGTGATTCTCCTGCCTCAGCACCTCCAAGTAACTGGAACTACAGGCATGCACCACCATGCCTGGCTAATTTTTGCATTTTTAGTAGAGACGGGGTTTTACCATGTTGGCCAGGCTGGTCTCAAACTCCTGACCTGCCTGAAGTGATCCGCCTGCCTTGGCCTCCCAAAGTGTTGGCATTATAGGCACAAGCCACCACGCCCGGCCTGTTACGGCCATTTTATAGATAAAGACACTGAGGCACAAAGGCTTGCCAAAAGTAACTTGCACAAGCTTGTAGTTAGTGGCCGATGCCGGATTAAAACCCAGCCAGTTTGGCTGAAGAAGGCGTATGCTTGTGTAATGGGAAGCAAAGGAAATGAGCCGGCAGGAAGGATTACCTGCAGGTAACCTGCAGGACCTCCTGAGGGCAGGGACGTGTGTGCTTCCACAGATGCTCAGCACGTACATACCCCTAGGGGCTCCCTTCTCCCCACTTCCACCCCCATGCCTCTCTGAGGTACCATGGCATCCCAATCTGCAGAGTTCCTGGGGGAATGCCCTGAGAGATGCCCCAACAGCCTCAGACCAAGGAGAGATTGAAGCAGTGACCTTTCTGGGGAGACCTGCCTTCTTTGTTGGGCAGTAATGGGCAAAATCTGGCATCATCTCTTGCTCACTGGGAGATGTGGCATCGTTCCTGATGTGCTCAGGAGCGATGCCACCTGAAGCTCACGGAAACCAGAGTCTGGTGGGCCTAAATTCAGTACTGACCCTACTTACCTCCCTCAACTCTACGAGCCTTGGGATTCTCATCTGTGCAGTGGAAATAAGAATCATGCTGGAGGTGATTGACAAAATTAAGTGACAAGAGGACCTAGAAGCAGCCCTCCTTACAGGACCACTGCATCTGAGTGGAGATAATGTCAGGATGGGAAGAGCAGTGACAGTCCTCCTGTCCTTGGATTCCTAGGGCCCATTCAGCCTAGTGCCTGGCATGCGTTGTGGCCACTAGAGGGTGTGTATGGCGGGGCCCAGCAGGGCAGGGACATGCTACAGCCCAAGAACACCCTCCCTCGAGACTGCCAGACTGGAGAGCAAGCTCCAAATCCCTGGGGATGCAGGGAAAAGAGAGGAAAGGAAGAAGGTGGGGTCCCTGATGCTTATCCACAGGTCTCTGCACCCGAGTTACTCACAAATTAACTCACAAGTAACTCTGACGCCCTCAGATTCAAATGTGCCCCCACTGTCTTATTCCAGTATTTTCCCCAAAGAACTCTATGCTTCCCCTTTACTGGGCTTGTCCCAGTTCAAAACCGTACAATCTTTTATCTGTTCTCCTCTACCTTTGGGATGTAAGCTCCACAAGGGATGAGATGGTGAAAGTAGCAGGCCCAGGCCACCCACAGCAGCGTGGAGGCAGTGGAGTCACAGACAGGCCATTTGATGCCACTCTGCCTGTGCCATTGAAAAGCTAAATCACATAAGACAGCACCTGCCCCATTTCTTCTTCCTGGTCCCTAGTTCAATGCCTGTCACATAGTGGGCACTCAATAAATATTTGTAGGGTGGTTGAAATAAAATCCCCCACTTAACTCCATGCTTATCCCTGTGCCAAGCACATCAGTATCTCATCATATCCCCCCAACAACATAGTGAAGAAGGTTTTGTTCTTCCTAGACCCATATTTTTAGAGGAGGAAACACAGAGGTTAAATAATTTGTTACAGATCACACACCAAGTAGGTAGCAGAGTTGAAACTTGAACCCAGAGCTGCCTGAGATGTGTGTGCATCTTCTTAACACCTAGTCCTAGAAAAGAAAACCAGTCCCTTGCCCTTGGGAAATGTCCCACACTACTGGGAAGGCACAAGGCATGAAACAGCAGAAATCATGCAAGGGAAAGGTTACTTCTGGGTGGTGGGAAAGGGGCAGTATTTAGGGGCTACCACTTATGAACAGAGACATCGCAGAGGGGATCAGGGCCACCTCTTGCTATAGGCAGGTGGATTGGCAGGGAGACTGAGTCATCATGACCCACTTCATACGAAACTGATGGATAAACCAGGGTCCCACTTATTAACTCCTATGGCCCAAATTTTGTAGACTAACTATAGGCCTAAGTGGCTAAGTGGTATTGTCTCCCCCTTTGGAGGGTAAATCTGCTTGGTCAACATAGCCCCAAATGGGAGAGTTGGACACCTGTAGGCAGTAGTAAACAACCCTTCTGAAGCTCTGATGAATGCTCTAGACCCTCTCTCCCTTGGAAAATGCATATGTGAATGAATGGAACTTTGTGTTCATTCATTTAACACAAATTACTGAGCTCCTACTGGGTGCCAGGCCCTCCTCT